GAGGGAGGGAGGGAGGGAGGGAGGGAGGGAGAGAGAGAGAGAGAGAGAGAGAGAGAGAGAGAGAGAGAGAGAGAGAATGAGAACGGGAATGGATAAAGGGCAAAAAATAATGGTATTAAAATTTAGTCAGTGATCAATTATTATACATTGGATGATGGTCCACAGAAGACAGATTACTGGGCCCAGGAACATTGTTCATCAAGTCTTTGGGGATTAATCAGCATTTCTGTAGGGAGAGTCAAGGGAAACTTGATCACTTCTAAGCTGATCCAAACCTGATCTCCTGAAGATCAGGCTATAAAAAAAGACTCATCTGAGCTCACCTTCCTCCCAACCTGAGAGCACCTTGTGGGATAATTCTGCTCAGAGCGAGAGGCTTAGGCCATTCCTAATCCTATGGATACTTGGAAGATTAGCTTCCTGGACCTTCAGCAGGCTGGCTCTGCAGTTGTCCTGTCTGATTTGAGCTCAGATGGATTTCTCCCTGTGGCAAGCATGGTGAATTTTGTACATTGTGAGCAGATACAAGAGCACAATTCTATCTCCACACACAAACATACTTTTGTCTGACATTCTAGTTTTATAATGGTCCTGTAACTCTTGCTTGCTTTCTATTTTAGCTGACCCATTCTTTCTAGGTGTGTTCAACTCAAAAGACCAACTAACATGGCTTCTTTTCATCATTTTGGGTTCAGTGGCCCAGTGGGAGGATTCCAATATAAGATGTGTTCTGAACAAAGCATGTGCATCTATGAGTGTGTGTGTGTGTGTGTGTGTCTGTCTGTCTGTCTGTCTGTCTGTTCAGGCCAAAGTTCAAGGTTGGGTATCTTTTTTAATCGACCTCCACCTTTACACTTTGAGCCTCTTACTGATTCAGTGCAGCAAACATTTTCTTTTTAAAATTTATGTCTTGGAAAATACAATGGAGACAGTATTATTAAAAGGCAGAGGGGCAAGAAAACAGACTTTCCTTTTGGTGTTCTTTCAGTGATATGAAAAGGGGAAGTCATAGGTCTTAGTGAAGAATTTAGTCTTGTTTGTTTTGTAATTGAGTTCTCACCATGTAGCCTAGACTGGGAAAAAAATACTTGCTATTTAGCCCAGGTTAGCTCTGAATGCATGCTCCTCCTCCCCCAGCCTCCCAAGTACTAGAATTCGAGGTGTGGGCCATCATGATTGACTCCACTAACTTTATTTATACGTTTATGGAATGCATGCACCTGTTTGTGTGCAAGTGCACACCCACACGCACATGTATGTGAATGCATGTGGAGGTCACTAGGACAACCCCAGGTATCCTTCCTCAGGAGCTACTCACTTTGATTTTTGAGAAACGGCCTCTCACTGGCCTGGAGTGTACCAATCAAGTGAGCCTAGGTGGACAATGAGCCCCGGGGATCTGCCTGTTTCTGCTTCCCCATTGCCTGGATTATAAGCACATGTCAACATGTCACACTCGACCTTTTAAAAACATGGGTTCTAGCCAGGCATAGTGGTACACACCTTTAATCCCAGCATTAGGGAGGCAGAAGTAGGTGGATCTCAGAGTTCAAGGCCAGCCTGGTCTATAGACTGAGTTCCAGGACAGCCAAGGCTACATAGAGAGAGGGGGCTTGGGGTCCTCTGAGAAATCAAATTCAGATCTTCACGCTTGCTGGGAAGGCATTTTACCTACTGCACATCTACCCAGTAACTTTATAAGAGCCTGTTCCAGTTTCATCTTTTGTTGCTGTGATAGAACACCTTGGAAAAAAAGCAACTTAGAAGAGGGAAGAGTTTATTTGGCTCACAATTCAAGGTCAGAGTCCATAACCGTGGGGTAGCCAAGATGCAGTCAGCTACTCACATCATGCCCACAGTCAAGAGTGGAAACAAATGGGTCTTGCTTGACTATTGTCATTTGACTTTGTCCTGGCTTATACAGCTCAGGATCCCCTTCTTAGGGAATGATGCCACCCACAATGGGCTGGACTCTCCTAATCAACTAACAGTAAAGATAATCATAGATGTGCCCATGGGCCAACCAGATCTAGATAATAGGCTCTCTTCCTAGGTGATTCTAGGTTGTATCAAGCAGACAGTTAAAACTGATCTGGCACCGATCCCTAGATGAGTGGACTAGGAATGAACCCATGTCTGCTAAGACTCTTCCTTTCTCCAATATGCTTCAGGGAGCCAGAGACTCAGACACCAGCATGGTTCCCTTAGAAACAGAAGCAAGATTTCTTGAGTCCTGCAGGCAGGCTGTCTCCTCCCATACCTTCATCACTGTTGTCATCCACCAGGATGATCTCCTTCAGCAGGTGTGTGGGTGTGTGATTGACAGCGCTGTGGACTGACCGCAGTATCACAGACAGGGCCTCATTCACGAAGATGAAGATGATGGATATCTGGGGCAACTCCTTGGAGTATTTGAGCTCCTTACACCTGGGGAAGGGAGAACAGGAAAACTATCAGAGGAAGCGAGATGGCAAAGGAAGGGCTGGAGAGATGGCTCAGAGATTAAGGGCTCTGTTCTTGCTGAGGACCCCGGGTCTGTCCCTAGCATCACATGGAGCAGTTCCTAAGTGCTTGAAACTCCAGCTCAAGGTGATCTGATGTCATCTCTTAGTTTCCGCAGGTACGTGCAAATACATACATGCAGGCACACAAACACATAGATACAAAATAAATCTTTAAAAAAATAAACGTAAAAGAAAGCATGTAAGATGTGGCTGAACACAGGATTTTAGCCAATTTCTCACTAGTTTTTGCCAAGGCAAGGATTCATCACTCTCCCTTGGCTCTCCATCCTTCTCTCTCATTCGTTATTCAAGGCTTCTGGTATCCTAGGCTGACCTCAAACTCACTGTGGAGTTGAGGATAACTTTGCCCTTCAAATTCTCCTCCTGTCTTCACTCCTAGGGATACAATTACAGATGTGCACCACCATGTCCAGATTATATGTTGTTGTTGGGTGCAACAAGGGCTTGGTGCATGCTAGGAAGTGCTCTACTTAGGGTGCTACGTATATGTGTCCAGCATTCCCTTCATGTTTTCTTAACTAAGCATTGTGAAATAAACCTAAGCAATAAAGTATTAAAAGAATCCACCTCACTTCACCCAAATTGATCATCCCAAAGAGGGGAAAAAAAACACTATTGGGAATACATCCACCTGTACCACCTGTATCACCTTTCTGCTTTGATGATCTTAGGGTTGGAATCTGAAATGTCCAATAGTCTAATGTCCTGAGAGGTTTATTGGAAAACCAACTTGCAGCTGGGAAGATGGCTCAGTTGATCACCTTCGAGATACTAGCATGAGGATGCAACTTCAGTCTCCAGAACCCACATAAAGAAAATATTGTGTGGTGATACACATTTGTAAACCCAGTGCTGGGGAGGCAGAGACAGGCAGATGAGGTTCTTCAGCTATTCAACCTACCTAGTTGGTGAGTTCCAGCTAGTAAGAAACCATGTTAAAACAAAAACAAGGTAAGATCTGGGGAGATCTTCCAGTGCAAGTATGAGGAGTAGAGTTTGGATCCCTAGAATCCATGTAAATGCACACTGGGGCTGCAAGTCCATCTGTAATTCTAGGCTTGGAGGGCAAAGATAGAGTTCCCAGAACAAGCTGGCTAAAGAGACAAGCCATATCGACAAGCTCTGGGTTTGATTGAGATGGTCTGCCTGAGTAAATCAGGTAAAAGAGTGATGGAGGATGATTCCTGACATCAATCTCAGGCCTCCACATGCATGCACACACATGTGTACTTACACACACATGAACCCACAAACAAGCCTGAATCATGCACACACATCCAAGCACACCCTAAACTCAAAAATGAAAATAATGGGACCGGAGAGATGGCCCAGTAGATAACAGTACTGGCTGCTCTTAAAGAGGAGCCAGGTTCGATTCCCAGCACCCCCGTGGCAGTTCAGAACTGTCTGTAACTCCAGTTCTAGGGAATCTGGCACCCTCTTAGGCCTCCACAGGTGCCAGGTACACATGTGCTACACACGCATACACGCAGACAAAACATCTGCTCACATAATAAAAATGTAAAAATTAAATAAGGAGATAAGATAGATATAACCTGAGAAATGATAGCTGACCATCTATTTGCACATGTGTAGAAACCACACACACACACACATACACACACACACACACACACACACATTTATGCATGTACAAAGGGGTACAAAGATCTAACTCATCTTGTCTGTGAGACTGCAAAGTGCATAGAAGGAACCCTGAAGGTCCTAACAAAGGAAATGAGATGAAGGGAGAGAGTAGGAGGGACATACTGGGGAGGGAGGAAAGATTCGTCTGTTTCTTTATGCTGAACAGCTTGGGCTGTGTCAGGCCGTATGAATCACACTGGCAATTTTGAAAAGAAAATAAAGTTTTGTTACGATATACATCCCTACCTCCTGAGGTGACTGCTCAGGGATTCGTGAATCACACAGCCTTGTTTTTGCTATGGCCATGTCAATCTACTGTCTGGGGATGCAGGAGAGAGAAGAATGGCCATTGGTAGGCTCATGAGCTATTGGCGGGGTCATCTCATTGACTGGGTAGTGATCCGAGGAATGAAGGCATATGAGCAGGTCTCTCAGGACTCGCTCTTTCATCCTTAGCTTGAGAGTCTGGCAGCTGCTCCCTCTCAGTCCACTACTAGCCATAGTGAAGATGGGAAATTAGAGTACCTGTAACATATGCCCAGCTATCCTGAACAACTAACTTCTTTGGTCCTGTTGATTTTATTTTTCATGTATATTAATTTTGATACAGAGTCTCAGGTCACCCAGGTTGGCCAACATTGACCTTGAATGTTTGATCTTCCTGTCTCCATCCAATTAGAGGATTGTGTGGTGCTGGGAATGGGACCCCGGACCTTGTGCATGCTTGGCAAGCACTCTATCAACTGAACCGCTTCCCTAGTGCTGGTCAGTTATTTTAACAGTTTCTAATCTTTGTAGGCAAGAAGGAAAGCTCTCTCTGTACTCACTGCCATCTCTATCCATGAGCAGTGGGTCTGGTTGTGCTCAAGGATGGTATTTGTGCTCAATCTTGGGTGTCAGCTTGGTCAGATTTGGGATCAACTAACAGACGTTCTGCTGGGCAGACTCTTCCCCATAGTGGGCGCCACCTTCTACAGCAGCCAAGATATAGAGAAAAGTATCGCTGTTTGCCTTTGTTCACTCCTAGATAGTGTGGATTCATTTATGCTGGGATACTGTTGCTGCATCCATCTTTCACTAATGTCAGCTTCTTCAGCCTTCTAAAGTGGCTCTCCAGGAATCACCCAGGCCTTTCCCATTCATTCAGGCTACTGAGGCATTCAGTGTCATGCACTGAGCAGCTACCACGTTCTTGGCCCCTTCAGTATGAAGACAGCCATTGTTGAGCCACCTAGTCTCTGTATCCTGTAAGCCAATCTACTAAATACCATTTTATAATATATATTCACTCTATCAGTTCTGCTCTTCTAGAGCAGTGATTCTCAGCCTTCCTGATGCTGTGACACTTTAATACAGTTTCTCATGTTGAGGTCACCCTCCTGATCATAAAATTAGTTTTCATTGCCACTTCATAACTGTAACTTTGCTGCTGTTATCAACTGTAGTGCAAATATTTGTGTTTTCTCATGGTCTTAGGTGATCCCTGTGAAAGGATCATTTGACCCTTAGTTCAGAACCACTGCTGTAGTTCCTTTCCCTGAGAGATGAATACAAGCTAGACTGTACTGTGGGGCAGCCAGCTAGAGAGAGAGCTTGCCCTCTTTCCATAAAATAAAGCACGCATAACCACATGTTTCCTACCTTGTCAGCCTCCGAGACTACAAAGCCAGATCTGTAGCTTGCAAAGCTATACCCCTATCCCCAATCTTTTGTTTTCCTAGGGCATGGTGTGACAGTTAAGTATTAACTCTCAATCTGATATAACCTAGAATCACCTGGGAAGGGTCTTGATGAAGAATGATCTAGATCATGTTGGCTTGAAGGTGAGTCTGAGGGATATTGTCCTTATTGTTAGCTGATGAAGGAAGACCCATTCCAATGTGGGCAGTACCATTCCCTAGGTAGGGATTCCCAACCAATATAAGAGAGGAGAATGACAACAGATATAAGCAAATAAACAAGCAAAGATTCATGTGTTTACTCTAATTGCTCTTGACTGTGAATGTGATGCCTCCTTAGGTTCCTGCCTTAACTTCCCTACAGCAATGAACTGTAAATTGGAAGTGTAAACCAAATAAATCCTTTGGTCAGAGGGTTTTTTTTTTTTCACAGCAACAGTAAGAAAACTAGAATACATGGTCTCCCTATGCAGTCTAAACTAGGTTGGAACTTTCAAGGTAGCTCAGGCTGGACTCGACCTCATGACCCTTCTGTCTGTAAAATGACACAAGTCAGAAGCTCCATATAAGGATAATGCATTATTTGTTAGAAAGATCCTGCCTCGTTGGTGCACAGAAAGTTAGGAGGGTAAAAGAACTGATGTTAGAGCCAAAATGTATCATATAATGTCAAACACCTCAGAATCCATTATGGAGTGTGTTAGGTACCCCTTCTACCAACACAGACTCAGATCTGGTCGCCAAATGATGTCTTTCCTTTGGATAACTAGGGAGTAACTAATAAACAGTCTTTTATGTAATTAGAGATGATTGGCAGGGACAGGATCTGCATTTGTTACTCTTTTTTTATTGCTGTGGTAAAACTTCATGACCAAGGCAACTTATTTAAAAAAAGAGTTTATTTTAAGCTTTTGGATGTAGAGAATTAGATGCCATGATGTCACATCAGAGGTAGCAGGTGGAAGGTAATTGGAGGGGCAAGTGGAAAGAGCTCACATCTGAAACCACAAAACAGTAAGCAGAGAGGGCTAGAGATGGCATGAGCCTTTTGAAACCTCAAAGCCTGCCCCCAGTGACATACTGCTTCTGGGAACGCCATATCTCCTGAACCTCCCCCAAATAGCTACCAACTGGAGATCAAATATTCAAATACCAGAGAATTATGGGAGACATTGCGCTCAAATCATCAGAGAATCTTAAATCAGGGTCAATTTTAATCAATGTCCAAGACCTAAAGGAGGATCTAGAGACATTAAAAACTAGATTTCTATTTTCAAAAAACCAAAAAAGTCTGCTGGACAAAATAGATCTCAATGAGGTTGTTCCTATGGAGAAAAGAAACTCAATTTTAAGAAGGGGCACTGAAAGAATCTAAGAAACTGAATATGTACAGGAGTTCAATGAAATTCTGTCCTGTTCTGAACAGGAAATGGCCATTCTGGTCATGAACTCATAGCAGCTGTGGTTCCCTGCATGGGAGGCACTTCCAAGACCCCATTCCTCCCTGAGGATTTACAGACAGTCAACGGTTGCTGGGAGAGACATTGCCTTCAGTGGTGTAGACACTGGTATGTTT